GGCTGCTTTAGACTGTCAGGTACTTCTAAAATTTATATACCTTGATGTAAGCATCTACTGCTTATCTTTTTTCATTGAAATTGAGATCTTACTGATTCTTGGAATGAGATGGATTCTTGATTGAAACTTGGGGGATATGGCATATGATCTTATGAGAATCTCTGAGTCATATTTAAACCTTCTGTTTTAGCTTAATCTTTCTAACAGGAGAAGGAGGGCATTGCCTCATTACTGCCAGATGAACGGAATTTCCATGTGCCCATCCATGTGCCTCTTTGGCATCCATATGGTGTTCCCTCTGATAATGCTGGGTGGTATGGGATCTTTGGCTCTCCACTAAGCCTGTACTAATGCTTCCTGGTTGGGAGAAGAGTATTGCTCCCTGCAAAGCTTTTGGTAACTCCTAAGTGAGGGTGGCCCTGTTACCACCAGACAGTGGTGAAAGCCCCAACTCCACTAAAATCCTCTAGTTCAGGACCCCCATGTGATCTCCACTCTAGGGAGAAGAGTTGCTCATTACTGCCTGATAGGGATAAAAATCCTGCCTCATCCACTATCTTCTCTAACACTGTAAATTGGCTTCCACTCTTTTGGTGGTGAGCTTTGCATCCCATGGTCCAGCCTGACAAAGGTGCAAGTTTAGGCTCCCCACTGAGCCTTTGTGGCTTGAGCAATGAAATTAGTAAATGAAAAATGTGTGCTTTTTTTTTTAGCTGAGAAATTCCATAATTTATTTTTATTTGTTCTAATTAATCATACATAATAGAGTGCATTTTGACATATCATACATAAATGAAGTGTAACTTCTCATTCTTCCTGTTGTGCATGATATAAAGTTACACAGTTCATATAATCATATAATGCATAGGGAGTAATAATGTCTGATTCATTCTACTATTCATCCTACCCCCATATACCCTTCTTTCCCTTCATGCCCCTCTATTTAATCCAAAGTACTTCTATTCTTCCCTAGGCACTGCCCTCCCCATTGTGAATTAGCATCCACATATCAGAGAAAACATTTGGCCTTTTGGTTTTTGGTATTGGCTTATTGTGCTTAGCATGATATTCTTCAGTTCCATCCATTTACCAGCAAATGCCATAATTTCATACATCTCTAAGGCTGAGTAATATTATATATATATATATAATTAAATTATATTATATTAAATTAATATAATTAATATAAAAGATGGACAAATATTTTATATATATAAATATAATAATATATATAAATTTCTTTATCCATTCATCCTTTCAAGGGCTCCTACATTGGTTCCATAGTTTAGCTACTGTGAATTGAACTGCTATAAACATTGATGTGGCCACATTACTATAGTATGATGATTTTAAGTCCTTTGGATATAAGCCAAAAAATGAGATAACTGGGTCAAATGATGGCTCCATTTCAAGTTTTCTGAGGAATCTCCATACTGCTTTCCATAATGGTTGTACCAATTTACAGTCCCACTAGCAATGTATGAGGGTACTTCTCCCCCCACATCCTTGCCAACATTTATTGTTGCTTGTACTCTTGATAAATGCCATTTTGACTGTAGTTTTGATTTGCATTACTCTAATTGCTAGAGATGTTGAACATTTTTTCATATATTTATTGATTGATTGCATTTCTTCTGTGAAGTGTGTTCAGTTCCTTAGCCTATTTATTGATTGGGTTATTTGGGTTTTTTTGGTGTTTAGTTTTTTGAGTTCTTTGTATATCCTGGAGATTAATGCATCTTTCCTAGTACTTGATAGAAATAACTGACTTTTGTTAGGACTTTTTCTTTTATGAGTCTGCTAGCATTTCTAAGTTGCCATTTTTTTCAACTCCAAATATGTAATATATGATTCCCAAAGAAAACCAAGAACTCACTACCACATCATTCTCTAGGCTCCAAGGTCTCCAGCTTGTGCATTTTCTAATTCTTGCCTTTAAAATACATTTTATGTTTGTCTAATACATAAGGCATAGGGGTCTTAAGTGCCCTACTTGCCATCATAAATACAAAATATATTTCTAATCCATCTTCTCAGAAACCAAA